ATGGTCAGTTTAAATACGACGTAGCCTTGTCTTTTGCCGAAGAGGACCGGAAGTTTGTTGAATGCGTGGCCGGGCAATTAAGAAAGAAAGGATTGAACCCTTATTACGATAGGTACCACGAAATTGATATGTGGGGTGAGAACCTATATACTCACCTGGATGAGGTCTATCGTAGCCAGGCAAGGGCCTGTGTCATCTTCATATCCGCACACTATAAACGAAAGCTGTGGACCAGGCATGAGCGTGAAAGCGCGCAAGCCAGGGCATTTAGAGAGAATGAAGCTTATATCTGGCCTTTCCGGTTGGATAATACGGAGATCCCGGGTATAAGTGACAACATTGCTTACTTCTCCCGTGATCGTTTTGACTGTATTAGTTTAGCCGCTGCTATCGCAGAAAAACTACGACAGCCCCGGCCGCAAAGCCCAACAGGTACGCCGCCGGATACAGCGCCTCTGAAATCATTTACCCCCAAAATATTTTCCCGGAAATTTTTTGCGGAAAAGATCAGTTACTTTTTTTCAAGCAGGCTGCGCTCCGGGTCTGTGCTGTTGACAACAGGCGGTGTTATATTGCTAGGCTTTCTTGATAAGCTAACCCCTGTTGATATATTGGCCCATCGTATCCGGGAAAAGAGCAAACAGACCAGCGCGACCAGGTGTAATGACGGAAGTTTCAGCCTCAAACGCGGCCCCGGCACCTGTGCCTCTCATGGTGGTGTAGATGTTTTTGTAGATACCCTGATCTATAGAAGGACTATGGAGGAATGCCGGGAAGAAGCGGCTGCTATATCGTGGTTGCCGCAATAGTTTCAGGCAACTCCAGTGATTTTCCAGCCCCGTAAATCCAATCTGCTTGCTGTCTGGCCGCCAGCAGGTAATTCACCTTAACACCAGTTCATCATGCGTCGCTTTTTTCAGACCTTGTTTGCAGGTAAACGCCCGGTCATACAACAACTCAGCTGCCAGCGTTTATACGTACAGCAGCGCCCCTGTATCCTGCTTCAGTGGCAAATATTATATGCATGGAATATCCGCATCCTGCCATTGCGCCGTCGTTATAAAATGGGTTCGGGCAGCCTGGTGCTTACCATTCCTGCTGATCTGGAGGCTATAACGATCAATGCTGTTAATATATGGGGGCGTACAAAACAACAGCTGGTACTGCGTTCCGTGGTATTCGATCAGGCGACTGATCAGGCGCTGTCCTTGTCTCCGAAACTGAATGCTCAACCCATACCGACAGTAACAAACTATAAACT